CAAGCTCGCGACCCCAGAGCCTTGCAGTGAACGTGAGATTGCTGCTAAGCTCAAGGGCCAAGTCAGTGCTTTGAAGAACATGTCCATCAAGAAGACACAGCTGCAACTCAAGCTCGACCAGGTCAAATCCCAGTATGCAGCTTTACTCAGTGACACGCAGGAGCTCCAGAGCAAGTTAGCTGAAGGTCAGACGGCTCTGAAAGCATTATCCGACGACTACATGAAGGCAGTCAACCAAACTCCAGCACCTGAAGACCTCAACGAACCCAAAGCTGATGGCGAGCAAATTCCAATGGCAGTGGAGTCATTTGTCCATAGCCTTGGAATCTCTTTGACTGAGGAGCAGAAAAACCAGCTCCATGGTCTCTTGAAGAGGCCTAACCAAGATCCTGACGATCCCGCTAAGCGGAGGAAAACTGCTGGCCCTGACCCACCACCAACTGGACATTGTGGGTAACAGCCACGCCTCTGTGCACTTTCATGGGTGGACCATTCCTTTACCCGAGGATGACAGCATGTCATGTGACAGTTTGGATGGTCAAAATTTGGGGATTCAGTGGGACGCTTTTCAATCTGCTGACACTCAAACTGAGCCTTGGGTGGGGCCAGTGACAGCTCTATAAGCCTCACACCTACACCAGAGACAAGACCAACTATGCAGGACTATGCCACTACGACAGACTGTCTGCTGCAGAACCTCACCATGGCAGTAGGCAATCCCAGTGCCAGATGCTACGCAAATGCACCTTGGCGGGCATTCACCTGGGTCTGTGCCCCCCTACAAGACAAGCGCGCAACCCTGGGGCAACCTCCAAAACGCTGTCGAGGAATCATTGGACTGCGGAGCCAGTTGACATTATGCAACTGCCAGGTCTACGTGATCTTTGGAAAGAGCATGATTTGAACATCCAAGGAGATGCAAACCACTTTGTGAACTCCATGTGGTTGCTGTCCCAACCCAGAGCATTTCACTACAGGTTTGCGGAGATCAAAGAAGGAGGGTACCTCACGGATCATGTCCAACAGCCAATCTTGATACCCTATCCTGATGACTGGCCAGAAGATGTCACCTTTCAACAGCTTGTAAACAACTGGGCCAATCGAGGCTTGGGCCAATACTTGATGGATGATAAACGGCCGCTGGTGCGCCATGTGACCCGCAACACCTGTGTGGATGGAGTCATGACGAAGCACAGCAAACCTTTCAATCCATATGGCACCTTCACAATGCCAAGATCCTTGGATGGATTTGCACGAACCTCCACAGAGTTCGTTCCGGCAGTCCTCATCTGTCACCGAGGCCATACACACCAAGCAGGGCACTACTTTGCCATACTGATCTACAGGGACCTGATGTGGCTGGCTGACGATGGTAAAGTCCCAGTTCACCTGCCTCATTTGACACCCAGTTTGGCCAGCCAGATCGCACAAGTCTGGGCAGTGACCTTGGACACTTTCAAGACACCACAGCAGGTACTTCATGGATTGCCACCGCCTGAGCAACCAGACTATGACCCACCGCTTCATCCAAGTTCGACCAAGAAAGCCCGACTGGAACAGGGCCACAACAAGCTCCACTTTGCCAATGTCACCAATCTTGGCAGACAGGTCATTGAATGGTACTGGACCCGGGATAGTGGCATCTACATACTGGCAGAGACGCACCTGGATCCACAAAAGCACTGTGAACTGCCAGTACTTCACAATCAGAGGCAGGGTAGCTTTTGGCACAGCGGCGGCTCCCAACAATGACAACACTGGAACACATGGAGGCATCCTGGTTCTAGCTGACCCAGCCTGTGGCGTCACAGAGTTTGAGGCCTTTACAATCCAGGGCTGCGGCTATCCTGCTGGATCAATGGCAACGTCAACTACCACCCTTCATGGACCATGACAAAGGAGCTTGTGTCCTCCATGTGGCCCTGACCAGACTCTTGAGGCAAGAAGTACACAAAGCTCGCAGCAAACACGGTGTCGTGGTGCTTGTGGATATGTCCACCTTCTACGACACCATCCAGCTCAGTCGACTGCAAGAGGAAGCAGTCAAGCTCGGGTACCCAGTCCTCCTCCTAGAGTTGGCAATGCAGCTCTACTGTGGTCCCAAGGCCATTTTGGCCGAACAGGAAATGACACCGTTCTTCCATGTTGACCATGGTATACCGGCTGGCTGCCCACAAGCGCCTATGCTGGCCAAAGTGGTGTTGGCGCCGGCCCTTGTGCCCTGGAAGGAAAGGCATCCTCATGCCCATTTATCCAGTTGGGTGGGTGGTGTGGGGTTCGGTTGTGGTGTGGCTGTTGGGCCTGTCCTCTGCTGTCTGGCTTCAAGCAGTAGGGATCTCATTCTCCAGGAGGTAGTCGTTGGCTGGTCTTTTCCACCGATTCCATTATATAGGTGATGGTGGCTGCCATGGGTCCTTTGACTATGTACCATGGGTATTGCTTGTCTTGAAGCTGGTCATGAATGGCCTGCAGGCTTGGTCAAGGTGGGATTGTTGGTCCTCGGGCCAGGCGTGAAAGAGCTGGTGCATGGCTGAGGATTTGATCTGCCGGATCCATGTATCTGTTGCCGTGGAGGTCGTATGTGCTGTCAAGGAGTCCTCCAGCATGGTGACCAAGGTGCTTGGCCAAGGCCTGTCTCATGGCCTTGCGGTATCTCGGGGCTAATTTGTGCTTCCAGGCCCCAGAGTGCCTCCGGTCGAATCCCACCCCTGTGTAGACGTAGTCTGATCTTCAAAGCCGGAATTTTGAGTGTCCTGAGGCGGGCTTTCCTTTGTTGTGCCTTTTGGAAGCGTTGTCGTTGTACTGGAATCCTGCGGCGACGCGCTGCTTGATGATCAATGCTAAGGTCTCTCATCACAGTGGTGACTGGTGGGTCTTGGTCCGTGAGCAGGCTTCTCAAGGCATGGTCTGTGCTTTTGTCTGTGGCTACAAAAGCCGTTTTCCTTGTGTTGACCTTTAAGCCAAGTGCAGTGAGCCTGCTGTATAGAGCCTGGTAGGCTGTTACCCCCTATGTCGGCCATGGCTCGTGGCAAGACCTGCAAGCCCTAGCCCCACACCAGTAGTACCAGGGCTGGGCATTTAGTCTATGTGTTCACCACATGACGCTGGGACAACTGCAACGCCTGGGAGCGATCACAGGAATTCCAAGCCCACCACACAACAAAACCAGGGCACTTCTGGCAGGACTTGTAGCCTTGGCTCAGCACACAACCACACCGGTACGAGTCATCGCGCAGCTGGCTTCAGCCTGGGAGATTTGGACGAACCCGCACAAGAGAGCTCCCTTTCAAGACCTCCTGGAGCCAATCACGGCCAGGGTAACGGTCCTCTATGTGAGCCGTAACACCAACACCCCACAGCGCCGGGATGCAGCACTTGTGGCATGGGAACGTGCCAATGCCCTTCATGACAGACGCCAAACGGAATGGCAAGCAGTCCTTGATGCTGATCATAAGATCATCTACCAGCATGCAGCCGAGAGGCTCTCCAAGATCTTTGCAGATAAGGAACACTATATCCACCAGAAGGCACCCAAGCACCAAGGCAAGAACACGAAGCAGTACAAGAAGCAGCTGGGGGCACAATGTCAACGACCATGGCAGTCACCCCAACACAGATGGACCACCCATCGTAGCGGGTACCAATGTGGAGTATGCGGACTCCGGATACACCAGGCTCTCACTGTCCAAACCATTGAGGACCGTCTCCAGCAGGCATGCCCGCAACTCACCCTGGAGGCAAAACAAGTTGAGCAGCCAAGTCCACATCAGGCACTCCCCAAGAAGTTGACCCGAGTTCAGGTCATACACCAGCTCTTGGCCAAGCGACACTCTGAACAACACCAGTTTGAAGAGACCACAGGATACCTTCGCTGTGGGAAATGTGGCTGCAGTGTCCACAAGCGGATCAATGAAGCAGCCTTTACAGCCTTTCTTCAAAGTCCATGCCTGGACAGGGCGCATGGCCAACCACGTGACGCTCATTCCAGTCACCAACTGTGGCGGAAAGGTGACAAAGTGAGCTGCAAACAGTGCGGGCTAGTTCTCCATCTGGATGGCCAACAAAGAGTGATTCTGACCGGGGCCAGTCGCCGAAGCTGCAAAGGAGCAGCTACCAAGGGTTCACCACTACTACCGGAACTCTTCAGGCAACAAGCTCAAAGAGCCAGTGCCACCCAGGCCACACTCGACACGAGCCAGGATGATGAAGACACCTCCAAGCCAGTCAGGAACACCTCCAGACCACTAAGCAACCTGACAGCCTGGAACACCGCACAGGCACTGACCCTATGCCACACGCAGGTGGACCCACACCCAGAAGGCTCCACTTTGACACGATCTATGATCAACACGCATCTGGCAACCTCCAGGCTCACCCAGCGCGTGAGACCAGGAAGCAGCCTGCACTGGCCATGAACCCCAGCCCACATGCAGGCAGACCACAAGAGGCTGAAGCTTCACAGGATGAAGACACCCATGTAGACATGGAAGACAACGCCCACGAGGATGGCAATGAGACCCTCACGGTCGACTACTTTTGAGCCAAACGGCAGCTAACAAGTGAGGCAACAGCCCTGGAAGACCTGCCAACACGGCAAACAGAGCACCACCTTTAGGAGAAAAATACATACATACATACATACATGCGTACATACATACATACATGCATACATACATACATACATACATGCATACATACATACATACATACATACATACATACATACATACATACACACATACACACATACACACATACACACATACACACATACACACATACATACATACATACATACATACATACATACACGTGCTTATGCCTCTACAATTTCCCTGCTGTTTTTCTTTCTTCCCGAGTGTCGTCAGGTTTTGTGGAACATCCTGCTATTGGCTCCCTCAAATTAACGTGGCCATCAACATGCTTGGCCTGTAAATTTGGTGTGGAAGAGTCCTCATGGGCCCATCTTAGTTCTGAGAGTCCTTCGCCTCCGTCGCCAGGCGCAAGATCAGGGACAGGTGCTTTGAGGCGCGATTTTTCAGAATCCCCGATTGGATCGACGGTTGGTCGATCCGGATATCCACCAAGAGCTGGCAATGCTTTGCTTAGGTTTGTTTGTCTTCAGCCCCGACGAACACTGATTTCCAGCAGGGACGGCACTGTCCAGGCCGGACTGCCACTAGCTGCTAACGCGCTTGGGCCCCAGAGGCGCTGCAGGAAAAAAAATTACAGAGAACATTTACCCCAGCCAAAAGCAATAGTTCCTGGATTCCTGGACTGAGATGACTGAGGTGTGTGATTGCATACCCGCCTCCTGAAGAGGGGACATCGCTGTACAGAACTGCCGCTAGTTTGGCTCCCCTCGGCAAGACCTTAGTACTTCGGGTAGAATAAAGGTGGCGTGCTGTCCTTGCCTTTGTCGTGCAAGTAGTATAAGTCATAAGTTAAACTGTCAAACAATGTTTTTGACCCCATTGTAGGACATATGTATGCAACACAGGGGTGTGTATTCACGCCGCTCCGCGGCAAGGTCCGCCCGCACCGCCATGAAACAGTTGCCCAACAAAAAACGGCGAATAGCGAGGTTTTTGAGGTTGACGTTGCCGAAAACGCCACTATGTACCGTATTTTACAGTGTTTTCATGCTTTGTGAGGCAGAAACCACAAATAGCGATGTTTTTCAGCTTGCCGTGGCCCAAAACACCGCTATTTACAGTGTTTTTGAACCTGCTGCCAAAAACCACCGCAATTTGCGACGTTTTCAACAACATGGTCGCCAAAAACACTGCTATTTGCGAGGTTTTTTACATTTTCGCGCTGCAAAAGTCAATGTTTCTGCTCAACAAAAACGGCGAAAACCGTCACCCAAACAGCTCCGAAATCACAAAATCTGGCCCCCGGCCTCCCGACAAGACACATGGAAAAAACATGCACCTCAAAGCCGAAAATCGAAGACCAACAGTCAAAAAATAGACAGTTTTTATTTTACTTTTCTATTGCCGGTTCCGGGCGGGCGCGCGCACGAACCTGGTCCATTCCGTGCTGCAAAAGACCGTGTTTTTTAAGACCGCCGTCGTGACCTATCAAAATCCCATTGTTTTGGCCAAAAACTAGCCCCCCCTTAAACCTGTACCTTACCGTTGTTTATGCCATCCGGATGATCACGCCCTGAGCACCTTTGGTGCGGGCGGATTTGAATTGGAAGACATCCCAAAGATTCCTTTGAAGAAGGATAATAGACCCAAACCCAGTTTAAGTTTAGGATAGTTTGGATTCAGGCCTCTCAAAGAAGCTTGCAAACAACCGCAAGATTGCTGGGTTGCACAGAAGTCAAACAAAGTGTTTGGCAACATTTTAGGATATGTGTGCAACATATTACCCTTAGAAAGGTCAGCAAACGGTGTTTAAAGATGTTGCTGGCTTTAAAGATATTTTTGGTTTTCGGCCCTGGGCAGATCATGGATTATAGTTTGTATAGACATATACATATATATATATATCTATATTTTTTAAAAACAAATATATCTCATCCCATCATTCATTCGGCTCTTAGGCATGTGTATAGGCATATTGAAACCTTTGGTTTCATTTGAGCGTTGCTTGGGATGCCTTGGGTTTGCAGCTTCTAGAGAGCTGGCCAGGATCCATGACACTTGTTTTTTTGCTCACTAAGCATGTAGAGGGTGATTTGGGGATTGGGGGCTCCAATGATCATCCTAAGTATCTCCAACAACGAGGAGCTGCGCAAAGTTTCACCGAATTAGAACAGTCTCAGGTCGGATTTCCTGCACCAGAAAACCCCACATATCGATTATCATCGATTTTGGCTGAGGCTGATGAGATCATGCTCTGGGTCCGTTTCATGCTGTTGAACAGTGCCAATACTTTTGGATCATTGGTTCACATGATCAAATACTGGTCCAATGCTGGTTGATCAGGGTGGCCTTATCAATTGGCTTCTCGTCAAGGAGGTGTGCCAGGTTTTCTCCAGGTTGGATGGGTCTGTTGCAGGAGCCCAATATTTTTCTTATGACTCTAAAACAACAAAGACCTCACAACCAAATAGTGGACAAGTTATTTGAGAGCACTGGAGTGCTAACTAATCCACTTGCAAGCCTCACTTCTGAACTCTTCAGCCAGGAACTTGAAATCAGGTCGATCTTCTGCTTGCAATTGATCTCAACCTTTCATCTGATTGCCGACTGTGACATTGATCTTCCCATTTTCTTCAGAGAAGTATGGATAGTTCAAGCCACAGACCTTGCCCAACGGCTTTGAGGCTCCTTGGTCTTTCCAAACACCATGGTCTTGGGTGATATCTCTGCCATGCCTTTGCGGGTATCGGCCAGAAAAAGAAACTGGTCCAACTGTTGCGCCGGTGCGACATCATGGAGCCACCATACTCTTTTTTCCGACTGGCCTCCAACCTAATAGCAGCTTCTTGCTCCTAGTAGCGATGCCAGGAGCCCTAGTAGCGTCCTTGCTCCTAGTAGCGATGCCAGGAGCCCCTAGTAGCTTCTTGTTTCTAGTAGTAAGGCCAGGAGCCCCTAGTAGCTTCTTGTGCCTGACCCTGCCTTTATCTTAGAATTCTGGACGTCACGAGAATGCAGAGAGCAGGAGATTTGATTCCGACAGAGACGAATGATTTTCCAGAGACATTGTTGGTCAGCAGGGCAGAGGATTCAGTTTCCCAGTGTGTTTGCTATCGAAGCTGGCAACTAGTGACCCTTCTGAAGACAGGGTCAAGGATTCATTATGCGGTCTTGACAATAGGCTCCTGCCAGCAACCGCGAGAGAAAAAAGGATCCGGCGAAACCTGGTCAATAGACCCTCTTCAAACCAGTGCAGATGAATATGTTGGTAATCTCAAGAGTTGGTACCCCAAAAAAAACAAGGCAGAGAAAAACAAGACCAGACACTACGCTCTTGCGGTGTGCTCAGTAACTGCCTTCAGCTGACCAACAGATAAAAGCTTGGCAACTGCAGAAGGCACTTGCATCAAGCCATTCTGCACTTTACTCAGGTGAGTGTTACATGAGGGTGGCATCAACATGCAGTCTCCCTTTCTCTTCACTCTACACTGTGGCATTCACCTGGGTAGGCGACGCTCCTCCAGCTTTGAGCTAGCCTCCGTAGATGGTCGCTGTTCTCCTTTCTACATATCACACTGTTGTCCAAGACTGTTGGAACATATTGCACCCTCAGAGGAAAACACACATTGTTAAACATTGTTGGGAAAGGAGGTTGCTCAGAATGGCCGGAGGATGAAACCTGGAGATGGCTTGTTCTACTTTTTGAGAGACCTCTGCGGCCAACGGCAGACAAGGATGGTACATGCATTGCACTGAAGGGAGTCGCATATTATGCTTTCCACAGTGGGTCTGATCGGACTCGTAACAACGCTTGACTCCATTAGGAGTGTTGAGCAAGCAACCTGAGCTCACATCTCTTCCAGCAGGTTGCAAGGTCTTTGTACATAACCCACGTCCTGGTATTGTTTGTATGAGTCCCCTTTCAGAGATGGGCATGGCCTGGCTGCAGTTTGTCCGTCAAACACGGTCCACATGGGGTGCCGGCTGGGTCTAGTGCTTCGATGGTCGAAGCGGAACCAACTGTCGCTGACTCCGGGAGAGCAGGGTGAGCGATTCAGTGTTTCTTTGTCCGATGAATGGCCACGTTGTTCGAAAACTCCCCAGAGGGAATTCATTTTCGCCACGTCCCCTTAGAGCCTAAGGGGCTAGATTCTTTTTGCTCAAATTAACCGGCAATTGAGATGGCGGAACCCTTCACCAAACAGAAAGGCTCCTGGAGCATTTGCGATTATATACATATATACTGTATACTGTATATATATATATATACTGCATACATATACACCTTTTATTTACACATACATATGATACAGTTTGTCTCTCTGCCTTGCTTTTGCTCTGCCCGGAAACTAGGCCAGCTGTGCTTCAGACAAGCGCGTCGTTCTGCACGTCGCCAGCAGCTTGACACGACGCCCAAATGAAAAGAGGATGCATGATTCCGATGACGATGAAGGAGAGGCTGGGCTTGCAGGTCCAACTGAAGAACAATTGGGTATGATTTGGACCTGGGGTAATGTACGAAGTTTTGAAACGATCCATCTCATGAACTTGGATGCATGATCAAGCAGAATTTGGCACTTCGGATTCATCTAGGCCCATCTCTTTCGGGAGGAATCTTTGTTGATGTGGGGTACTTAGAGGGTTGTGGCATGAAGGTCCCTATTCTCATGAGGACTATGCACTCAAGGAGGAGTGGATCCATATTAGATGCTAGAAGCCAGACAAAGAAAAGGATACGTTTTTAGTTGCAGTTGTTTAAAAAAGTCACAACCTCAAACACAAAAGAAGCTAACAACAGCAGTGAGAAATCATTGGATTTTCTCTACATCACCAAAACAAACAACAGCTGTGTTTCTGTGCCAATTGTCGCTTGCTTGATGCCACGGACAGGGCCTCAGATAGCTGAGGTAAAGCATTTAAGGATGGTGAACAGTGGGATGCTCACCAGAGCTCGCATGAAAGAAGAAGTGTAAGTAGCAGTTATCTTAAAACTCTTTATGGCCTCGACCCAAAGAGGGTTCCACCACGGGACTTTGGCTGTTGATGTTTGTCTAGGTTGTGTTGCGGAATTTGAGCTTTCACTGGCTGGGATCAGCATTGGCATTAAACAATTGGATAAACATAAACACCAACTGAAAAGAACGTAGGAACAAACAAACCAATTTGTAGTTGATTTCATTACAAGTCTAAGGGTTTGACCCACAGGATGATGCTCTTTCCTTTCAGGCGTGGGAAGCTGGATGGCAAAGGCCTGTAGCACAAGCGCCGTTTCACATCAACGGAGTGCGGCATCACAATTGTGAGTTGTGTTGTTACAGCCCTAATTGGGAAGCTCTTTCAATGTTGATTCCTGGTGAGTTCCAGTTTCCAGTGTTTTTGCCAGCTCTAGAGGGGAGGGAGGACGTGGGTTTGCAAACTGTATGACATCACAGTGAGTGGGTGGCAGTTCGGGACATTCTGGGACATGTTAAATTCCGGAGAGATGAACATCAGATTGCTTTGGAATGGTGTCAAGATGACGGTCTATGTTGCGTATGGTCAAAGCAGGCATTTGTTTTTGTGGGAATATGCCGTATTTCTACCGACGCAACGATAGTAAAAATAATAGCGACCAGGCATGCTTCATTCTTTGAGCATGGCACTTCTGGAATTGGGTAAGCTATCCCAGTGGATCCGAAACAACTCCACAAATGCAGCTTGAAACTTTCAAGTTCTAAACTCAAAGGAGGACTGTTTAAGCCCACATGAGAAAAACGTGCTTTCCACTTTTCGATCCTCTTCCAATCCACTTTTCGATCCTCTTCCAATCCACTTTACCATTTGTGCTTGGCTTACTTTCCGTGTTAGGGCGCTCCGTTCTCACCACTTATGCTCTTCCTTTCCCACTTTGAATGTGGTACTAACCGATGCCATGCTCAGTTGGCTTAAGCCAGTTGGACATCGACTGCAAGGCGCAGAACGATGGGGCCATGAGCAATGAACGAGAGAGATAGCTGGATGTCCCCATGCCGGTCCAGAATAGTACTTGGCAAACGTTTGGTCGCAGACGCCGAACAAGAATGCGTGTGCCCTTCCATAGTCCTTGAAGAGACTCCTCAGACATCCTTGTCCGCGAAGAAAGAGCAAGAGAGAGAAAGGGAGAGAGAGAGAGAGACACACACACACAATAGGCTGCAAGTGTCCCAACGATCAACCAGAGAAGGACCGTGGATTAAGGGTTCACGAAGTAGCACACTTGTTATTTGTTTGGCTTAACTTTGTTTAATCTACGGGTCAAATTCGTCTCTTTTGGTTTCCTATATATATAAGATTCGTCAATCACGTAATTCATGTGTCAAAGAATAAAATGGTATATAAGTCTTCTTCTGGGCAAAACGCGCATTCAGCTCCTGCAACATGGCAAAGTATGATGCAGTGCAGTGCGTTGTAGAAGTTGTTGCACGTCGTGTCGTTGCTTGTTTGCTCGTCGCTGGAAGAACAGAGCCGATGGAAATGATTGCCTTCTCTTTCCTCAGGAGGCGATTCAAGAGTTGCTCCGGCCGAGGCGCTTGGAGCAATATCGCCTATATGGCCTGGTAAGTGTGCAGTGAGCAAGCCAAAGATATATACTCTACAAGTCAAAAGTGCCGTGGATAGTTAAAGTCTTCGGGTGGTGTACCCAGTCCATGCACTGAAAAGCGACAGGGATTGAATACTTAACTTAGAGCTCGTTCCATCAGTCCGGTCCAGTCGAAATAACTTTTGATAGTTGTTGATGGTGGTCGCCGTGTTGCACACAAGAGTCAAACAGTTTTTGGCATCGATTCCACCACATGGTTTCGGTTTTCTAAAGCAATCGCAGACGCAACGCGACCTTTTCCAACGATTTTTGAACCTGGACTTTCCCACCAGATACTATGGAATTGCCAATTTCTACGTGGAGTCTGCGTGGGGGAAGCTCAGAGTCAGAGAGCACTTGGGACTTGTCTTTCGGCAAGCTGTTTTTTTGGACTCACGAGAGATGCCATATTGATAGTGGGGTAAGAGCTCACGTCCTTTCACAATGCCCATTTCCATGGCTGAACTGCTTTGCCAAGGTCTGAACGTGAAAAGCAGGACGTGATTCTGCTGAAGAACAGAATCCAAGGATCACCTGTAGTGAGAATCGAATATCGATCTTGCATGATTTTTCTGAGACATTTGCGGTTCTTTTCAACTCCTTTCACTTTTGTATGCTCCTGCTCCAACCTTGAACTTTCATATGTTTGCTCAAGTTCTTTTCTGGCATGGATCTACAAACAGCAACTGGTCGAAGGGCTAGTAGAACTCCGCTCTCAAGTTTTGCTGGTTTGGACCAAGGTCCACCCAGGAAGCCTGCAAGCAGCATTCACAACGGCCCTGATGGAAAGCAAACTGTGTTTTGACCAAATTACTCAAACGCAGTTGACTGTCTTGAGGGTTGTCCCACAGACAGTTTTCCCCAGACATGGGCCATGGGGCCGCTCCAATAGACTTAATTCTAGGCCGCTCCAGCGGCACTCATGGCAGAACATGTCCCTTGCTGGTCATCATACCTTTCCACTCGTGGCAGATGCAGATCGCCCGGGGAAGAATCCGTATCTCATGGCCGCTTGAATGCAATGAGCTGCTGTGCCGAAAGTGCCATTGTCCGTTTGCCCCACTTCTTGGAGATGGCCTTGCTTTTAGGTTGCCTTGTGATTTTACATGTGTCCAGACTTGCGGGGTGTCTGTGTGCTTCGCCCTTGGCCAGAATCTTCGAAGAGTGGCTTGGAGTGAAACACCCTAGGTTTGATCCGTGCTTTGAGGCAGATGTTGGGAGGATCAAGGCAGGTCCTTTGTGTACGGCCTTCCGACCAGTTCACGATAAGGATAGGGAGATGTGATATGATGGAGAGAAAGACACGTTAAATAGGTTCTGTTCACATCTTGAACTTGAGTTCGCGCACCTTTTCTAAATTCAATGTGTGTACAGTGTATACAGTTAGAGATAATGGAATGCATAATGATTTTTTTTGCAGGTCGTTTTGATTTTGTTTAGGGTCTATGCAGAAGGCCGAGTCTGTGCCCCAATCCTTCAAGCTAGCTTCTAAATATCACTCCTTGGCACTTTGTGTCGAAGGTGCAGGGATCTTCACATATAATAGCTTCACCCTTTTTCCGAAGCGCAGAGCCCGCAAAACACCGCGCAGATCACCACGAACCCACGGGGTCGGGAGCGTGAGTCGAAGGCGGGTGTGCGAGTGCGGTGTGGAATGGGTGTGTTGGGAAGCTCTTGAAAACTTAAGGTCATCCTGGTGTACAAGGTGCAAGAGGTATTGATTTGGAAACGGTGTAAAATCTGGCCATTGCGACCCTAGAGATACTTTTTACATCTTTTTGCATTTGCCATGACCATGACTGGTTCGCAGGAATGTTTCCAGATTGAGCAGAATCAGATTGTGTCCATTTTGAGTTGTCAGATGTGCTTGTACACTGTGGCACATTTGGTTTCAATTATGTTGGCATGATCTCTTCTTCCTCCTCTTCCAAATGATTCGGCGCAGGTGATCCCCGTTACTGGAGATCGTGTTCAGGCAGACTTGCTCCGGAACCAGCCAGATTTGCTCAGTGAGGTTTTGTCTGAGGAGATGCTCAGATACCAGTCGAATGACACGGCTTCGTGAAAGACAACTTAAGTTACAAAGAAATGGTGCACCAATATATTCTTTTGGGTTTTGGGTTCTTCAAAAGTGCCGCCGTTGCAATCATAGAAATCTCCATGGTGACCAGATGATGCGAACGAACTAACTTATTGCCACCAAAAGCCAGTGAACGAATTTCAAGTTGCTAGACCCGCCAACAAACCCCGACTTGCAAGAGGTGTCCCTGTTTTTAGGGATCCCTAAGATATCCCTTTTCTTCCCTTCTCAAGTTTGGACCTCAAAGAGTCGGGTGACGTCGCCCTAGGTCTGGTGCTCAGCAGCGAGATCCCCAGCGCGAGAAGGAGCGCAGGCGAGGGAGACGGTGAGAAAATAGCATTTGCCGTTACTACTAGCTTCTTGTTACTAGTAGTAACAAGTGCCACGCTAGTAGTAACAAGTGCCTTACTAGTAGTAACGAAAAGCTATTAGAATTAAAAAAAATAAAAAATATAAATCGAAATCTTATATATTTTTCATTTTTTTAAAAATTTTTCAAGGCTCCGAAAAATTTACAACATTTTAAAACATTAAATCGCAATCATATATATTCTTTTTTCAATTTTTCGGAGCCTCCGAAAATTTAAAAAATTAAAAAAAATAAATCGTAGGACTGTTCTCAGAGATCACCAGATTTCCAGATGATTTAAGAATTTCAATGTTTTAAACATTAAACTTAAATTAAATTAATAGCTTCTTGTTGCTAGTAGTAACAAGTGCCACGCTAGTAGTAACAAGTGCCTTACTAGTAGTAACAAAAAGCTATTAGAATTAAGTTAAACTTAAATCAATTAATAGCTTCTTGTTACTAGTAGTAACAAGTGCCACGCTAGTAGTAACAAGTGCCTTACTAGTAGTAACGAAAAGCTATTAGAAATAAAAAAAATAAAAAATATAAATCGAAATCTTATATATTTTTATTTTTTTTAAAAAAAATTCAAGGCTCCGAACAATTTACAACATTTTAAAACATTAAATCGCAATCATTTATAATTGTTTTTAATTTTTCGGAGCCTCCGAAAATTTAAAAAATTAAAACAATTAAATCGTAGGACTGTTCTCAGAGATCACCAGATTTCCAGATGATTTAAGAATTTCAATGTTTTAAACATTAAACTTAAATTAAATTAATAGCTTCTTGTTGCTAGTAGTAACAAGTGCCACGCTAGTAGTAACAAGTGCCTTACTAGTAGTAACAAAAAGCTATTAGAATTAAATTAAACTTAAATTAATTAATAGCTTCTTGTTACTAGTAGTAACAAGTGCCACGCTAGTAGTAACAAGTGCCTTACTAGTAGCAACACAAAGCTATTAGAATTTAATACACATTAAATTAATAGCTTCTTGTTACTAGTAGTAACAAGTGCCACGCTAGTAGTAACAAGTGCCTTACTAGTAGTAACAAAAAGCTATTAGAATTAA